ATAAACAAATAACGTAACCAACACCTTATTGTTTGCTGAGGGAGTTTTATTAAAAACGAACGTTTTCGATCCACTTAACGGATCATCATCAGGCTAGAACATACGAAAATGGAATACATAATAAATGGAACAATAAGTTCAAAAATTCAAAAATATCAATAAACTGATAACAAATCAATTAATAAGAATAAAAAATAAATTTCAAACGATACCTAATAATAAATAATATACTACAAAGACTAAACATTAATATGATCTATCATAGCTAAATAGAAGCTACTAAGTTTCCTTTGGGACCAAATTGATGTACCTAATAGGGTAAAAGCGCTTCTGAACAATGGCCCAAACTTCATCCCAGAAGAAGCAGTGAATTGGGAAACCTCCATCCAGGAGATCGAAAGAGGAATTATTGGTCTAGATCCGATAGAGAAGGATTATATACGTTGGAAGACTGTATTAAAAAATCAAGAAAAATGGAAAAAAGGAGGAAGTATTAACAAAGACATCCTATATACTAAGCGTTGGCTGAAAGCAAACAACTTAATTGCCGCAAGAGCGGATAAAAGTAAACAAATAGTTGTAATGAAAAAACAAATGTATGACAAAGCCTTAGAAGAGTACATCAAAAAGACGGAATGTATTAAGACCAGCAGTAAAATTGTTGAGGCTATTGATAGAAGAGTTAGGAAATTGGAGGGAACCAAGCTTGCGAAGGTTTTACCTTTTATCCAGAAATGCCGTAACCCCAGACCTGGGATCCCTAGACTATTTGCCTTCGCTAAAACGCATAAAGAGGGCAAGGAAATAAGGCCAATAGTGGAAAAGCATAAAGCACCTACATTTTTCTTAGAAAAAAGATTGAAAGAATATATCTCCTCCCTAATGGAAAGTAGTAAATTGGTTGCAAAAGATCCTGTAATGGTGGTTAAAGAACTACAAGACATTACTTTGATGGATGAAGAAGTGAGAACTGTGTTGGATTATGAGAGTTTGTACCCCTCCATTAAGATTTAATTCTTGTTTGGAAACTCTATTGGAGTTCTTGTTTAAAGAAAACCCGATATTAACACATCACAGAAAAGATGTTATAGAAATGGCTAATCTTATATGTTGCAAATCTTTTTTCACTTTCGAAGGCCAAACTTATAAACAAAATAGTGGAGTTCCAATGGGAAGCCCAATTTCGGGGCTTCTATGCGAGCTTGTGGTTAGAAAATTGGAAGAAAAAGTATTGCGAAGCTTTGAAAGAGAAATCGTTTACTACAAGAGATATGTGTTTTCAGAAAATCACTTATGGCTGCTGCTATTTTCGTTGTAAATTTGTCTCTTTAAAGGTTTGTAATGTCTGGAGACATAAAATATTAAAGTGAAATATATTGTAAAAGTGTGAATGTATCCTCTTAAGTGTGTTAATAGTAATTACCACGTGTTATTAACCTGAAAAAAACGTTCATTATTGCTGCAACATTTCAATAAAGAACAAATTTTCTTGAAAAAAGTTGTAATTATAAAGGTTTTTCTGAACAATTGTAAAGTGTGCAACGTATTAATGTGAATATGTAGTTGAAGTGTTTTTTAAATGGCTGTATTTTTAATCTTTTCCAACGTTACCAATTATACACCGAGGTTTTTAGAAAACAGAATCTGAGTTTGTACTGAAGAGGGACTTAAATTACAATTGAGTCCAAAATGCATATGACAAACCAATAAAAGAAGTTCATAACCTGAAAGCTGCAGATGATAGTCTACCGAACTGAAAATCGGATTAAAGAGACAAATTCACAAAGAGATATGTGGATGATTTATTTATAATATGGAGGAATAATCGAGAAATTACTAGTTTCATAGATAGAATCAACGATAACGAGGAAGGCCTCAGCCTGAAGCTAGAGCAGAAAAGTTCCGTGATGGTACATTTCTTAGATATTAATATCATCTTTAGCAAAGGGCATGTATCCACCGGCGTGTACATAAAACCAACACATAGCCCACTATACATCCCTGCTAAGTCCAATGACCCCTATCGTTACAAAATGGCAGCATTTCGTGCCTTGGTTAGAAGGGCTTTTCTATACTGCGACAACATTATAGACCGGGTTACTGAGATCGAAAGGATCATACAGTTAGCAGAAGCCTTAGGATATAAGAGAAATATTATAACGGGTATTGTTAAAAAATTTGAGAAGAATAATGATAAAGTCTCCAGACAAGGTCCATCTAAGTACACAAAATTTACATTCAACAAATATTTAGGAGGAATTATGAAGGAAATTGCAAGCGTTAAAGATTCAACGGTGATTTTGAAAAGAGCTCCCAATTTATATAAAATTCTTAGAAACGATAAAGGGGTTATTAAAAAAGAAGATAAGGCAGGTGTTTACAAGATTCCCTACGAGAACCAGCTATTAGGAATAAAAAAAGATTACGTAGGAGTTACTACCAGAAACCTCGGGGTAAGGATTAGAGAACACAAATATGATGCTAGGAAAGGGTCTAATACAACAATATTGGCCCAGATGGCGCAGGCCCAAGGATCCCTGGTTGGATGGGAGGAAGCGGAAGTCGTGAGACAAGTACACTCACCAACGTTGGCGAAGACGGCCGAAAAAATGGAGATATACAGGAGCAAACTTAAAGAAGGATGCATTAATGCTAGGGATGCGGAAGGTCTTCCCTCGGCTTGGAAATTTGCCGTTAAAAAAGCTTACAAGTAGCGCATCAACTGAAATATGATATGTATTTGATTTAAAGGAAACTTAGTAGCTTCTATTTAGCTATGATAGATCGTATTAATGTTTAGTCTTTGTAGTATATTATTTATTATTAGGTATCGTTTGAAATTTATTTTTTATTCTTATTAATTGATTTGTTATCAGTTTATTGATATTTTTGAATTTTTGAACTTATTGTTCCATTTATTATGTATTCCATTTTCGTATGTTCTAGCCTGATGATCCGTTAAGTGGATCGAAAACGTTCGTTTTTAATAAAACTCCCTCAGCAAACAATAAGGTGTTGGTTACGTTATTTGTTTATTTTTGCTGGGTACGATTGTATTCAGTATAAATAATAATTACAGATATATTAGTAAAGACTTTCACAGTAAACACTTGTGTAACAAACATAATTATAAATGTATTTCTTTTGATCAAACATTAATCAAAATAATGTATGAATTGAATTAATTACTTTCTTGCTATTCATTATCTTTTAATTATTTTAATAATTTGTTATTTATTCCTTAAATAAGTTTAAAAATCGTAATCCAAGAAATAATTTATAAATTAATACAGGAGAATTTTGCACACATTAAATCAGTGAATTTATTTGGGTTCATTTTGATCTTCCAGGCTGCATATATGTTATTTTCCAACTTCAGAAAAAATGTAAACATTTGTATGTGTCATTTAAATTATCCTCTCTCAATTTAGTGTCATAAAGAATACACAAGTTTAAACAAGGATTTTTTGCATAATCAATATGTTTCTGTCAAGCTAAACATTAGTCTTCTGTAAACAAAAAAATAGACAGAAAATTCAAGATTATAATTTCTCATTAAATAAAAATACTTAAATGTCTAAATTTTTATAGCATTTTTTTGGAGCTGTAACCAATAATACAAAATTGTGCAAGTCTACCAAAATAAGCAAGCATTTCAGATCTGTCCCCAAATTTTTTGACTGATTGAAAGTTCATAACAATGGAGGAACTATTATCTGTAATGTAAATAAATTTGTTCATTTGATTTACCATATTTATTTGCATATAAAATGATCTCACATATTGGACAAGGCTGAGTTTAAAGATCATAATAAAGAAAATTAGATTTATTAATACAATTCTAATTTTATTTCGTTTAATCACAAGTAAAATATTAAATGAATGTAAATACACACATTGTCCAGCAAAAATTACTGGCATTTTAAACTTTAAGAAAAAATCTTGTAAAATTGGCAACATAATTTGTTCATGTAAAGCTGGACAATCAGGAACCTTTTTTGACAACTGTACTCTAGTATTATATGTATACATTTCTAGATTTTTAAAATTGTTTTTTAAAATTATTTTAGATATGTTTTAAATTGTAAATTGTAATTAAGGTCAATTTCTCTGTGAATTTGTTCTATAACAGGTTAGTTTCAAGAAATTTTCTTTTGTAATAGAATGTTAGACTTTTTGTTTTACAGTAGAGCATCGATTATCTAAAACAATTCAGGACTGGGGTTGTTCAGATAATTGATCATGTACAAAAAAAAATATATTAACCTATCCCATGTTGAAATTTTTCTCCATTTCATGTTGCTTCACATTGAGTTTTCATTGATGTTAAGCCTAACAAAAATTTTTTTAAAAATAATAATCATGGCTATTGTATCATTAAAAATTATTTCTTTATTTTGCAAAAAATAAATACAGTACTGTACTGTACATTGAAAAATATAAAACAAAAAAATATACAGTATTCAGTTACATATTTTACATAAAGTAGGTCTATACATTAGAAAAAGAAGTCCAAAATTTTCTTTTGCTTTACAGTTGACACTTGTTTTTTGCCGCTAAATCTTGCACACATTTTAAAAACAGCAATTGGATAGCGTAACATTCTTCTTGCTGTTCTAACCATTTCATAGCTGTCTCAAGGCTTTGAAAAGCTTCACCACTTTTCAACTGATCTATTATTTTAAGTTTATCGGAAAGACTGAGAACAACGCACTTACATTTAATTCCCATTGTGAACAGTACAACAACTATAGCACAATCTGTTACAAGTGTGAAATTCACAGATCCAAAATTTATATCTCCGATGAAAACGAATTCCAATTCAGCACGACACACATTCCTCAGAAAAATCCACACATAACAAATGGCCACTCATAATTAGAAAATGAAGCCTTGTTTAAATATGGCCTCCCTTTCATGGTTGATCCAGTGTTGCCAGCAAAAACACGCAAAAATTTAACAAAAATAATATTAAAGTAGCCAAGACACAGCCAAATATTGTAGCGCCACATCACTAGAAGACATTTGAATTGCCAAGTAGAATGCAGTCAGTTAATTGAGTGTGACAGTTGATTGGGGGTCGGATAATTGATGCTTTACTGTAATTATATATTTTTGCTAATTATGTATTTTATATTTTCCATGTAGAAATTATTCACACAGATACATCTAGTCATTGTAATTTTTAGTGATAGATTAAAAATAGAAAGTATGATTATAATGAAAAACAAATAAATAAGATTTTACTGAATTACTATTACTAAATAATGAAATGCAATAAAATATTTTGAAAAATACTAAACTAGTAATTGAAAAATTAATCTCATTTTTGAATTTTAATTAATGAATAATATGGTGATGATAAACAGAAAATACAGCTTAGTTACACTTTTCACAAGTAAGCACAGTCATCGCTTATTAATTTTCAGATAATCAGAGGATGATTTGTATAATAATTAATTATTATTGGCTATTATTAAATGAAACTCCTTCATCAGACAGAGATTTATTTGCACTTTAATCATTTGTGCTAATTTTTTATTTATAACTCAATATTTTTAGTCAGCTGACTGTTTCTTTACTTATAAACTGATTCTGATTAAAATTATAAATCCTTTAATTATTATATTTAAATATATTAATGAAATAAACTGATGCAATGCTTTAATTGATATTCATAGTTTGTATATTTATTTAATTCAATCATTATCCTTTTAGATTGGACCTCAACAATATGTTATATATACACTAGGAAATGATTGTTGATTAAATGTTATTGTGTAATTTATATATAATTTATTAGGAATAAAAAAACAAGTTGGGCATGATTTTTATTTTTTATTTAAATATATCAATTTTAGTTAAAACATGTTTTACAAATGATTATTTGATTATGACTTGATATTAGTGCCATATTTTAATAATAAAAATTATTATACAGTCGACCCCCCCCTATAAGATCATAGATACGTTCCATTTTTTAGGAATCCGATTTCTTACGAGTCGTTCNCGTTTGGTTAAAATGGAATGGTATTTCATTACTATTTAATATATATTTCAATCTATTTAACAGGCCTAGTAAAAATATCACTTCATCATTTTCAAATGATATCATTTCTGAAGTAGTTTTTGGACAATTTCATATAAATAATTGATATTGATTATTGTCAATTGACAAAACAACTTTAAGTGATCAACTGATATCAAATGATACATTAAAACTATTTTGTAAATTGATTTTATATATTTGAAATTTGAAGTAGTTTAAAATCAAATAATACATACTATTATTGATAAATAGAACATTTGCCAAATGATTCATTTAATGTCACTTAATAAATGACATCAATTTGTATCATTTAATACTATTTGCCAAATGATACCATTAGGTGACACTGACACTCACTAAATTATGTCAATTGACATCAATTGACATCATGTATTCAGGATTTAGAAATGTGAAAATATTACAGGATTATTTCCTACCAATTTCCACCAATTCATATCATTTGAAATCATTTATTTCAAGCAAATCATTTCAACTAGGGAGATTTTTCAAATATTTTTTCTTATTTATTTGTTATCAATCCTAAAAATCCAATAAACTATAAAAAAATTCATAATAATGAAATTTACAAATATTTAATTAATGATAATTAAGTAAAAATTTGTAAATTTTTACTTTGTTATCATCAAATCAAAATAATTAACTATAATTTAATATCAAAATAATTGTTAAAAATTTTTTAACATAAAAAAATATATTTTTGAATTATTTTGAATAGCTTTTTTAAAAATATTTCTTCATAAATTGTTTATTAATGATATCTAATTAAAACAAAAATCAAAATCAAAACTTGTGTATTCAAAATTTTGATAAATACTAAAACTAATAAAAACATAAAAAATTAGACTAGCACTATTTAAAACATAAAATTTTATAAAATCTCATCATTAATATATTAAATCAGAACTGTCTTGCAAATATAAATAAATTCACACAAAAATAACCTTGGACACAGCAAATAATTTTACAAAAACATACTTAATTATAACCCAACCCTAATACTGTCTTAGCAGTGTATGCTATCGCTAATCAAGATTCAGCAAGTATTGAATGGAACTGAGCCTGAATCATCCAAAAAAAAATAGCATATTTGCTATGCAAAAGCTTTACATATTTATAGAACGACATATAAGGGACATTCTATCAATTATAAAGACATTAACTCTCTGTCTGCAGCATGGAGCATTCGTGCACCCTATACACAAATAATGCAAAGCCTCACAATAGCTAAGGGATGAATTATTTACATCTTTTGATTTAACTAATGGGGATTCATTTTTTGAAAGATATTTTGTATATATTTAATTGTAATGTTTCTTTGTATTTATCAATTTAGTTTTTATGTATTCGTTTATTTTATTTACATGTTATTTATATTGTGAGATCTGAATAGGCCCTGGGTCTAAATTAATAATTTCAAAATAATATTAAATTTCTGTTATAAAATATTCTTTCGTTTGGGTGAGAAAAATAATGTTTTAGAATGGGAAAGATAGATAACAGATGCTACTTCCTTCTAGGGAAGTTAGAACATCCTCTGTTTTTCCATTATCTGCTAGAAATCTCTTTTCGATGGGAAATGTTTACCCCTCAATTATTCCCCTTTCCGTCCATTCCCACGGAAGAGTCCTTGCATGATGACTGATCGCAGATCGTCAGATATAGAGGAAATTTATCAGAATTCGGGGAGTTCATCGACAGACCTGGAAGAGTCAGGACTCCACACCTAATTGCTCCCGATGACCAACGCCCTTAGTCGAATCACATAGAATAAATCTAGAGTTAGCGCTTAGAAGATATACTTTAATTTTGTGCACATTTCGACCTCCCAGGGAGTGAAGTTTGAGAACTTTATAAAAGAAGTGCCTTTGCCAACCGATGAAGAAGACAAAAGACAACTAAACCAGGTTGTATGTTTAATAACGATTTGTAAGCTCTCTCTCTCGTAAAGGTTAAGCATAAGTCCATATCTCTCTCGACTTATAGTTTGTAATTTGTATTTATTGTCTCTCATTGTCATATATTTGTACTACTTTATTGGTTTATGTTAAATTAAATTTACTCTTGTTTATTTGTTAAAGAATGTCTCCTTTAGAGTCTCTGAATCAGATCTATAAAATAATTACACGCGTGTTTGTCCGCGGATCGATCAATTGACAAACTGGTGTCGGGACCTGACAAGATCTAGAATTCACCCTCTAGATCGTTAATCAACATTTTTCTCGCCCTCCTATAAAAAGTTTTGAGAGCCGATCACACGATTGTGCACCAGTAAGTGATATAGGTAACATACCTATACCCTTGGTTTCTCACAATATATGATGATCTTTGTATTTTTGAATATTTTCAAACTTATGTTCAAATCGCAATGTCTTAACGTTCAGATATTGAATTGGCATTTCATTTAGTATCCTACTGGAAGAAGGCTGTTAAAAACATTAAAAAATGTTATAGTTAGTAAATATTGTTGCTGTTTCCAAGGTTATTTTGTGTGAATTCATTAATATATTTGATTTAATTTGTTTTCAACTTTTTTTCACTTCCTGATATTAAAAATACTTTTAACCATTTTGGTTATGCAAACTTGTTTTGCACTCTCTCATTTCAAAAATAATTTTCATCATTCTTTTGTTAATTGAAAACTTCACATTAAAACTTGAATAATATTGTATAGTATATATAATACCTGTTAATGCCATTGAATGATCAGCTCCACCAGATAGCATTTTTATAGAAAGACCTTCTAAACCTTGTATGCGAACAGGGAGATACTGAGTATCTTCTTCGTTATTTCCTAATTGATATTCTCCATTTGAACCAAAACCATAAACACTTCCATTATCTAAATAAATAGAAATAACAGAATTTCAATTCATATTTCAACTTAAAAAGAAATTATTAAAACCACAATATTAGATCAAATAAATATTCAGTCAAGTATAAAATAATATATTCAAGATAGTCATCTACCTAAATCTAATTATAATTTTATTAACCTTGTAAAGCATTTAATTTTAATGATGTGTTCATTTGAATAATTTTTATAATCAAATTATCAACAAAATGACTAATTTAATTACCTATTTAACTTGTTTAATTAGTCATTGCTTTTTACAGAATGATATATGATAGAACACTGTCAACAGCAGAGTGCAATGTTCTTCAACAGAGAAGCAAAACTGCCTCTTCACAAGCAAAAATAATTTTCTAATGCAAAATTTCACTGGTAATCTAAAGGATTTTGCAAATTTGTGAAATATTTTTTTATTTTAAGTTTAAAGAATATCAAAGAGAGGCAAGATTGTCTCAAGAAGGCTGGGAAAGAGAGATTGAACCTGTAATCAAATATAAGATTAAAAAATATCTTAAAATTAGTGAAACCATATTCAGGACATCTGAAAATATACATCATATTGGCTTAATTATAAAGAAGAGATTTTTCAAAAAAAGTAAACAGTAAAAATTCAGTGCTGACCTTATATTTAGGTCTCAGCAATTTTACAATTTATACCTATACAGGGTACATAGGAAAGTCCCTTTAACCGGAAAATTCTTGCAAACAGAGAGAGCTACAGCTATGCAAGTGAGGTAACAGTATAGTAAAGCAACTATGCGCGACCTAATGCAAACGACAGCAGTGTCCCTAGTGGCGAAATTTGGAAGATAGGCAGTGCAAATCGAAAATGAAAACAGATAAAGCAAACTTTCCAATTAGAAAGTTTTAGAGCATCAATTAATTAGTACAAAATAAATGTGGTTCACACGGATAAGATAAATTGTCGCCTGTATATCCAAAAATGTCCGAAAACAATGCATGCCATTTTGTGTAAATGTTTGAAAGGAATAGCCATAGGTATGAAGAAATACGCACAATTTATTGCATAAAATACATACTTACGTCAACACAGTTTGATAACATCACACAAAAACAATGGAAAGGCAAACTGTCACACAGTGATAACAAGTTAATGTCGAGTATGTTTGAAAAGTTCGCTATTGCTCACGATACACACCATTGTTATCAAACTTTATTGATGTAAGTACATATTTTATGCAATAAATTGTGCAATAAATTTCTTCATACCTATGGCTATTCCTTTCAAACATTTACACAAAATGGCATGCATTGTTTTCGGACATTTTTGGATATACAGGCGACAATTTATCTTATCCGTGTGAACCACATTCATTTCGTACTAATTAATTGATACTCTAAAACTTTCTAATTGGAAAGTTTGCTTTATCTGTTTTCATTTTCGATTTGCACTGCCTATCTTCCAAATTTCGCCACTAGGGACACTGCTGTCGTTTGCATTAGGTCGCGCATAGTTGCTTTACTATACTGTTACCTCACTTGCATAGCTGTAGCTCTCTTTGTTCGCAAGAATTTTCCGGTTAAAGGGACTTTCCTATGCACCCTGTATATTGTATATATTATAAGTAACTACTGTTTATATCCTGCATCTAGATTCACAAACATCTTGAATCCTAAGTTACAACAAAATTCATTGTAAGTTGCCAAATGCAAAAAGTCTCACATTCAGAAAGCACATCATAAGTTATGATAATGTAAAAAGTCTCATAGCTACTATGATATCTAAGAGCTCTTGTAAGTTGATGTACCAGGAAAGGTGGTGTTAGAGTATTTGCACTCTCAATAGATCATCTAGTCCAGGGATCACCAAACTATGGGCCATGGGCCAGACCTGTCCTGTAAAGTCAGCTTATCCAGCCCACCACTGCGCTGTGCCACAAATGAGCAAAAATATAATTATTTATATAGAAATATCATAGATTGTAAATAAACTTACTATGTAGAAAAAATTTAAATAAGTATAAGTAAAAATGCCAAAATTGGTCCAATGTGATCTTTGCATTTGACAGTAATATAATTTTTAGGAAAATCAATGAAATAAAAAATTTGACAACTTTTTGCAATTTTTGGATATCGGAGTGCTTTTTGTGCAAATACCTGCAATGAAGTTTCTAAAAAAAGTGATTATGAGCTTGCTGCAGCAATCGTGTTTGTATATTGGTAAATAAATATGTTGGTTGTCTTTATTTTTTGTGTATTCAGTATACTATGTTGAACAAAATGGTTATGCGGTCCATGCTCATCACTCTCTAAGATATCTGGCCCGCTATGAAAAAAGTTTGGTGACCCCTGATCTAGTCAATCAGTTTTTCCGATTGTTTCTCTTAAATATTTCCAATTCAAAACTTCCAAAATATTATCAAATGATGAAAAACTTGATAGAATTCTTCATGATAGAATTAAAACTATTTATAGAATGTCATATAAAAAAATCTAACTCATCATATTTAACGTTATCTTTTTTTAAACAAAAAAAATAATTAGTTTCTCAATTTCTTTCAAACTTTTCCAAAATTTCTATTAATGTAAGTACCAAGTATCAATTTTAGGCAGATTTCATTCCACACTTAAGCTGGTTACAGTTTTCAGTTGAAGTGAGTTTTAGATACTATTATATATGTAAATAATTTACCTAAGATACCTATCTCTAAAATATCCATATTCAAATATGAGTGATCACAAAAAACAACAAACAATAAAAACCAAGTTAATAGAAGTTTCTGAAGTAACTACATTTGCAATTTAAAATGATGCAGCAAAAGTAACAAACAACTAACTGCTTTAAAAAAATTAGGTATAAGAGAAAATAATGTAGAGACATTAACAAATCACAAAAAGTATAATTTTTAAATGCTCATTTAGTGAGAAAGACATTTTGAGGACTCAGACAGGATGTTTTCAAGCAACTGATAAAAAATTTGTGAAACATATTAATAAAATGCATGAATAAAGTTTTCAAATAACAAAGAAAATTATTCAATTTATAGTTTGTGAAACTTCAAGAAACCAAAACATACCAAAAACTGACTTTAAAATAAATTTAAATTGGCATAAATGAATAATACTTAGAACATTGCTGTAGTCATAAACTTAGTAGAAAGTATGTGATTTTTGTCTTATATTGTTCTTCGACATTTAAAATTGCTATTAGAAGAAAGAAAATGAGCAATTACTTGTAAGATATGATGGTGTAAAATTAGTTACTTGAAATAAAAGAAAATTAATCAATTTCTTTAGGTTTATTATAAAATATCCTTGCTTATATGAACAATTGTATAACTAGAGATTATACAGTACAATATTTCTAAGGAAGCACAGGGTATATATATTATATATTGTCATATAACCTCCACTAAAGCCTAACTTAGAAATAAATTATGTTTGCTTGATGTCCAGGTATAATTTTAAAATAGATTAAGCTAGATTCCAAAAAATACTGATAACTTGACAAAATATTACACATCTGAGAAAAATATAAATTTTCTCTAAACTTAAGTGATTTTTATTTCAGATTTCAAATATCTTCTAATTTAGCAATCAACAGAAAAATCAAAAATATTAATTTTAATCATAGATATATAATTTTTTAAAATTATATTTTGTTAACAATATAACAAAGTTTAAAAAACTTACCACATGCAACTAGAGTATGAGAACGTCCACATGCTATAAATGTTGCTCGTAAACTTTTCAAACCTAATTTTAACATAACAATTATAAATTAATTTTTATGATCATTGATTCTTATAAAAAGAAAAAAGTACTTAAGAACTTTCACTTCAATAAATAAAAACAACTGAAATAATAAATGGATATTTCAAAATTAAAATAATAATATATTTCAAATTTATGGTTATTGAGACAATTAAAATGGAAAACAGGAAAATCTAAAGTCACATTTATATATTAGAGAGGTTGCAGCCAAAGTTTTCATCTCTAAAACATAAACATCAAACATCGAGTGCTGCCATCTTGTAAGCCTAGAAGTTTGACAATGGCATTTCTAATGTCGAGCATGGCAAGTAGAAGTTCAGCTTAAATGTCTGCATTTTTCTGTGTTTTGGGTTAAAATTATGATGTATTTTATTAAAATAATGATCATTTNGTCAAACATCGAGTGCTGCCATCTTGTAAGCCTAGAAGTTTGACAATGGCATTTCTAATGTCGAGCATGGCAAGTAGAAGTTCAGCTTAAATGTCTGCATTTTTCTGTGTTTTGGGTTAAAATTATGACGTATTTTATTAAAATAATGATCATTTAAGCATTTATGAATAACATTTTAAAGAAACAGACAATTTTAATCCAGAAATGATTTAATTATTCAATTTTTTTGCAAGTGATGTGAAGTCCCTATAGAATTTGTGTTCATAATAGCTTATCATTAGTGTTGCAACAAATAGTATATTCGGCCTCAGGCTGAATACCGAATATTCAGCCAGGAGCATGGCCGAATAGCCAAATATTCGGCCAAACTATTCAGCTTGATTAACGCACGTACAAAATTTGGCGCACAAACCGCATTATGCAAGGGCCCTTCTCTCTATTAGCCCACTGTCACTATGCTTCGCCAATCGCGTTAATTCTTGACAGTGTGGTAGCGGACAGATACGAGCGTCATGGCAGTATATGATAAATGATAATATCAAATGTGGATAACAATGAAATGACCTACACGTGTAAATAACAAAAAAAGAACAGAGAAAGACCACAAAGTGAAAATGTGAAAATAAATATGAAATTGAGTTGATAACATAATCGAACAAGTGGAGGCAACTTATTGATGCAAAATTCGCGGCAATGCCAAACAATTGTTGTCATAGACTTTGGAAAGCTAAATGCTTGTAATGAAAGTCACTTAGCATGCATGGGCGAAAGCCTGGGGCCGTTCGGGCTACCAAGCTGTCTCGAATCTGTGAAATCATAACTGTGACTTATACTGACATCTTATCTGTCTCTTTTCTCCGTTATCACCAGGCTATGAGTCACATAATTGTAAAATGGGATATCTACAACGGAAAAGTGACGAATCAAAAGTATCATAAGCACGTATTATGATGTTTGCATAGGCATACATGGAATAGAGCAATAGAGGAAAGAGAAACGGAAGAGCAAACACAAGCACTTAAAAAAAAGGACAGGCAGGATAAGACCCTCAGATGTGCGACGATTCTCGAACGAATAGGTGTGTACGTGTGCTGATCTTTGTAATTATAAATTGTGAATACATGTGACTAATATTATTTTATTTTTTATTTTGTGCATGTTATAAGTTATAAATAAATATAAACAAACAACACTAACAAGATAACATTAAATCTAAATACCAAAATGATTAATTTACTCTGTTTTTGTTATTTGTTACTCCTGTTTTTAGGTATTCAGTATTCAGCCGAATAGCAAAAAATAGGCCAAATACCGAATAGTAAGAGAATATTCGTTACATCACTACTTATCATAACACTGTAGAAATAGGTTTGTTCTTTCACGGCATCTTCTACCATCAACAGCATAATTCATTTGTAAATTTCTAAAAATAATTTTTCAAGCTGCATATGGATTTATATAAGCCACTACTTCCCTCAACAAAAGTATGTCATGAGAACAGGCAAGACACATTGGAATTTCCTGCTATTACACCGTACAGTAGGAGACATAATGATAATTAAAGTCAAAAACAATTATTTAATGTTATTAAACATTCTCTGAATATTTTTAAATAGTTTAATTTGTTTATTTATCTTGGCAGGTAATGTTTGTTGTTCTTAAATGTTTCTGCTATTTTTATCCCATGAATCAGTATGCAATGTCAACATGTGGCGCAACATGCTTTACCTGGAGTTCAAACATCAAATGTGTATGTTTGCTTACCGTACAAGTTTAAAGTTTGATCTTTGGCCGCAACCTCTCTATTGTGTATATATATATATATATATATATATATATATATATATAGATATATATAACACAAATACACAAATATAAATTATGGGATTTCTCAATATAAAGTGACTGGATAAATTACTGTTGTATAACATTAGGTATCAGTCAGATTTTACAAGATATGACAACTTAAAAATTAAAAATTTGATTTTGAAAATTCTGAACTGTATGTTAATAGAATAAAATGAGATTCTNAGCTTTTTTTCTTACATAAAAGAAAGGCATCTCTTTAAAATGTTTGAAAAACACTGTCCTAGTATAATATATCATCAATTGCCATATTTAAATTTTAAAACTATTATATTAGTAAAGAAAAATTGACTATAAGTCAATGTTATGTAATATTCTTAATCATCCAATATTGATAAAATTTTTTTGAAATATTTTAATTATTCTCTAACTCCTCACAATGAATCTTTACACACGCAGTTTGAGGATACAAATTAGTCTAAAAATGAAAACAGAAAAACAAAACAGATTAATCTGCATATTCTGCTATGATACTCTTTCATATTCTTCAAAGTATTTGCATTGTGTTTCATGTTACTATATATTAATTAATTCTAATGATTATAATAATATATGTGATTAAGTGTTTAATTTTAAATACAATTAATTTTTAATACATTTTTAAAAAATCTGTAATACAGATTAGATGCAAAACATATGTATTATATTCTAATGAATATAGTAATGTATGGTATACAAATTTAATAATTATATATAAATTACCTGTAATTAATGCAGTGTGTTCATCTCCACAAGCAACTTGTAGAACTAAATCTTCACGTATCCAAAACTTACCAGGTTGATTATCTGCAAAATTACTTTTCCCAAAACAAAATACTGCACCAGTATCTGAAATATATTATAAATGCTGTTAAATAATAATTTAAATAAAATTTCATAATAAAAATCATTGTGTTATGAAGGAAAAAACTTTTTTCCTCTCAAAGTTAAAAACATAAGTTTATTAAATTTTTTGAGATAATCTAATAAATCCAAGATTTTAACTTTTATAAGAAACTTTTTCCCTGTGTATATATATATATCTAATAAATCCAAGATTTTAACTTTTATAAGAAACTTTTTCCCTGTGTATATATATATTACTGTATATATATATATATATATTATACCCCAACTTACGTGAAATTATACCCCAACTTACGTGAATTCACTTACGTGAAATTATACCCCAACTTACATGAATTCAACTTACGCGGTTATCGCTCGGTCCCACCTATCGCGTAAGTTCGGGGTATTACTGTA